ATAGGTTGTTTTACTAATAGACTTGAGAATGTAAAGCTCCCCTAAGAATAGGTTTCAATAAGAGTGATAAGAAAGGATATAAATGCCATGCTGATAAGGAGCCTCGTATCTCATTTATGAGAATATATCATCTCCACAAATACAAGGCTGTAATCTAGTGGTGCCTCCGCTCAGGAACTGAGAAGCTATTAGAGCTGTTTACAGACTGTATTTCTGTTCATAATACAAAGGCTGGCCTTAAAAAAACTACTGATTTCAGTGCGTGCTGGTAACTCAGTCGCATATAGGTGCTAAAAATGAACCTAAATAATAGACTCTCTGTATTACCAGGTATACTAATGGCATGTTATAATGGAATGGTGTCCTATTTCGTTTATTTGAGCGGACAGGCTTGAATCAGTGAACTTTTCATTTGCAGGACATCATGGGATGCTATGACACCATTTCCAAGCATCTGTAATCACAGAAATTAGCAGCTCTAATGCATGGTGTCCCTATGGTCTCTTTAAAAGCCATTTTAAACCAATTAGAGTGTGATGTTAGACTCAAGATGCAGTGGGTGATTACATTTGACCTTAAACATATTAAGTATGACTATCCTCTTTATATGTTGTTTTGTGCATTAATTACATCATTTTTAAAATAGCACACGGACGTGGGTGATGCATCAAGTAGAATCACAGGAATATGTAGTACTAATGGTAACACTTTACAGCAAAAGTTCAGTTTTTAATGTTTGTCATCTTGATAATCATTATCATTGCAATAGGCATTATGGACTAACCATTTTAATAAACAGATGCTACAAAATATTCATTTCTACATTTACTAATACATTTTTAACAATTAGATTTTAAAAAATTAACATTTAAAACATAATGAATACATTTGAAGTAAAAAAAATAGTTATTTAATATTCAACACCTGATTTTTAATAGATTATTATACTACAGGGCTATTGAATGCTTGAATCTGATTGGTTGACATTCTAAGGTGTGCAATTTTTTTTTTAAAGAAACGCACGGCTAAATTAATTCCAGGCAGGGCTCGACCGTATCAATTCGCCAAATCATTTCAGTAATTTCAAAGGTCCTTACAGCTTACAAAAAATAACCAAAACCCACAAACTGACCAAGTAATTAAATATAGTACACAACAAAATAAAAATGAAAAATTATTTACATGTTTTTGCCACAAAAAATATGGAAAACACATACTCTCTCTCCCTTACAAACGCACAAACAATAGTACAGTCACACACTCGCACACATGGAAACATACACGCACACAAAAACGTGTTGTTAGCGCTGCTCTGACTTTTACTGATAAAATAGTTTAGCAACTTAAAAGCTACTTGTCATTTCTCACTTATCGCTGTTCTTGAAGAAGATAAACTTGCTGAAAACTGTTGAGATGCACAGACTCAGGTAATTCACACACTTTAATCTCTCTCTCTCTCTCTCTCTCTCTTTCAACTGCATTAATAACTGCATTAGTTTACTATCAACAGCTCAAGCCTCTGCTGCTAGGTCTAAAATTACATTTTGGAATTAGCAACGGAGGTGTTTGATAAGATGCATAAGAAATGCATCCTACACACAAGAATATTTTAAGGCCCACAATCTGACAAAGGTCTTGAAATACAACATCTGAACAATGTCGTGACCGTGGTATAAGCGTAGTGTAAGCCTAGTATAACCATAGAATAAGCAGAATAATTGACTCAGGTCCATTGAATTATTTGAAAATAATGCACACTCGAGGAGTTACCCAGATGAAAAAAAAAAAACCCTACACTTCCATAATGTATTTAAAGTGCTCTATTTTCGCACACTAATTTTGTACTTAATATACTAAAAATATTATTTAGCACTTCTTAAGATAAACTTAAGATCATCTACAGTAAGTGTACTCAACTGTGCTATTTTGGGACACCAGGAAAATTAATTAAAATGCACTTTTAATGTAATATATGTATTTAAACACCACCTGAGTGTACTAGTGTATGAAAGATGGTTCAAGTGTACTACAAGTGGTAACTAAATACATTTTGTTGTATGTTAAAAGTGCATTTTAGTTCATATTCATGGTGTGCCAAAATAGCACAGTTGAGTACACTTAGATGATCTTAAGTTTATCTTAAGATGTACTAAAGAATAATTTTTAGTATAGTAAAATGAGTACAAAATTAGTGCACGGAAATAGAGCACTTTAAGTATATTTTGGAAGTGCACTTTTTTTTTATCAGGGTACATGATAAAATTATATATTATTTTATAATAATTCAGTGGACCTGAGTTAATTATTCCTTACTTAAATGGTTGTAATAGCAAAATTATAGTTGTATAATGAATATAAAAAAATAAAAATAAAAACAGACAACTGGACTGATGAAACAACAAGACAAAAAAAAACATCTATTAGACAAGGTTTTTCTCCAAATAAACTTTGAGTCATTTTCTAGATTACTTTACAGGAAATAACAAGTATTGTCGGTCCTGCTTCTAGGAAAATGTATCTACTAAATTGTACCATTGTGTAAAAAGGACACAGTAGAAACACAGTCAACATCTTTGGTCTTCGTGAAAGTCTATATGAAAAAGCATCATTACATGAACTCAAATAATGTTTCTTGAAATGTTATAGAGCAAGTGCATTAACAAAAGGTACACATTTTCTAACCCAGGAACTGCAGAGTTCTACTGAGAACAGAAATATGTTAAGACGTTTGAGGATGTGCTCGAAATGCACTCACTGTACTGTAGGTGGCCAAGAACATTTGGGCGAAGAAGAAGACATGGATTAAACAAAGAAAGGCTGTGACATACTTCTCATTTGGCTCTGGAGTCCGCAGCGGGAGAAGAATGGTGCTTCTATGGTTGTCTCAAGGATTTGCCAGGAAGGCTAGTGGATGAGTGAACTTCCTGAGCCCATGAGAACCGGATGTTCCACTTCTTTTGTGTGTTTAGTGGCATTAGTGCTCTGTCCTTTTCGGTTTTAAATAGAGGACATCATGCTGTGGCCAATCACTGATCTGTAAATGTCAGGTCTGCGGCGCTCAGGTTGTGGTTCAGTATAACATCCTTTCATCCTGATTTTCACTCCAATCATTTATGGTAATGATTATTTAGGTAAGCGCTTCCCACAGCTGCCGTGCTTATTTTTTTTGCAGTATGACCGAAGCTTTAGAACATCTTGTAAGCACTTCAATGTTTTTCTGGCAGCCTGAGTATTTTTAAAGGCTGCCTCTAAAATGTTCTCATGGTCCTTGTAAACAAATTAACTTTGTGAAGGGAATATGGGAAGACTCTTGAGCAGCCTTGAGATTTGGCCTGGCCTCCATTTTAGATGCTGGACCAAGATATTAATGCAGTCTCCAGTGTTATGTTTCCCTTAAAAATGTGTGTCTTAAGACATGTCTACATTTCTGCTGGGCTCTTCATATACTAGTAGGTACAGTGCAGTTCATTTGAACATCAAAGCTTTGCTATGAGCTGCATATTGTATTATAAAAACAAAAGATGTGAGTGATTTGATTAAATAGTAATTGAATCACTCTTATGAGGTACAAATGTCTGGAGAAACATCTGTGAAACAAGTTGGCCATTAAATATGCAACGGCATATTCAAAAATTCCTTTTGCATAAGATGGCAGTGCTTTAAAGAGAATTATCATGGCCTGAAGCTCATTCAAGTGCTGCCATTTAGCATGTGTGAATTTGATTGTAATGATCTCTATACTGCTTTTGTTCATATCTAGTGTTGAGGTAAACTGAACCCTGAATAATATCTGCTCAGAAACCACCCGACCTTTAAAGTTAAATGTGAAGTGTGCACTTTTTTGATGTAAAATTTTTTTTTTTTAAATGTCCCCAAAAAGTGTAAACAAGTTTAAATAATACTCTGAACATTTTAACTATGCAGCCTAAACAATGGGTCTGGTTCTAAAAATCATAGTTTGTCTAATATCAAGGTTTGGACTGTGAGCCAGAAGCTTATTTCTCTTATTGAAAATACACTGACTCCAAATTGTCATTCCTAATGTAATCATTTTTGCAGACTTTTTACAGTTATTATTTTATTTATTAAATCATGCATTTTAAGGAGCTTTTTTTTTTGCTACTATTGTGATTAAAGTTGTGATAAAACGGAGTTAGCGACAGATCTCCCATATTCTGACGTACATTTGAATGTAGTGAATAGTGGTAGTTGAATGGATTTTGCGACGTGAGCACTGAACTCAAAAGTGGAGGCACATTAAGAGGGCGTTTATACGACACCGTTTTCAACTAAAAACAGAAAAATTTGTATGTGTTTTTGCCATTCATTTACATGACAACAGCATTTTGGGGGCTTTTGAAATAGAAACGTTTTAACACGATGTTATGCGCATACTGTATGTATTATGTTTACAGTCTATGTATGCACGAGTTTCTTTACAACTACTGGCCTTGCATGCATAATATAGTGTTTTCAGTAGTTTTTCACAGATCTGTAAATCGTTTTGACAACGTTGTTGTCTATACACAAATATTAAAAAAATGCAAAGGAAAAACGTTTCCATTTTTGTAGTACATTGTTGTTGTGTGAATGTGGATTTAAGTGGACTAAATGATTGGAAAAGTTCTTTATATGTCACCAGAGAAACTAACATTACGAGGTATTTTCTTAAAAAAAAAAATAAACATATACATAAGTTGTTCACAATAAAATCTATAACATGCATTCAGAAAAGAGATAGGATGAATTTTCATTTCATGCTGACTTTAAATTGTAAGTATTCACTCAGACTGAATTATTAAAACCGGTGCTTATTTTTCATCTCAAAGTTACCAACCAACAGCAAACGTTTTATTTGTGATTACCAAAAATGTTTACGGACACAGATAATTCATTTCAGAACACGACGTGTGGCAAACACAAAACTTGTTTGGTGAAGGATATGAGCTTGATAGAAGATCTTGCTTGTCAAACACAGTAAGTATCATTCATTAATTAGAAAATGTGTTTGCGGCATCAAATATTATACATCAGGTGCTGGTGCAAAGGTCGCTTGTTGTCCATCATGAAGCTGAATGGAACGGATGGGAAAATAACTTGACTCGACACACACAGTTGCAAGGTTTATTAGAGAATCAGGACTATAAAGGTATGCAGGATTCTACTAGACTCTGAGCAAACCACACAACTAGTCCTTTTCTAAATGTAATACTATACAGTAGCCAACCTGGCTGCCATGGTTAGTGATACAATAATATAATTAAAGAAATGGATTTTTAAATGCAAAAACTAGTGCATCAAGTCACCATATGGATAACTGGGAAGAAGGATGAAAATTGTTTCAACATAAGTTATTCCTATTACTAAGGGTCATATTCATTTTAAATAATAATAATAAAAAAATCATTAGGTAAGAAAGCAGCACCTCTGCCTCGGTTAGGGCTGACACTACTATACCATAGATTATATTCTTTAATATCTCTGTGTATATATGGCCAGTCAGCGAGAATGAACACCACATGAATTGTACCGCAGCCTGCACTGTAAACGTTTCCTTCACGAGTTTGTTTCTCATTTACAGCGAAATTTGGTTCGAAGAGGATGGGTGGCCAAGCCCTTCCAACTCACAGACATTTACTGGGCACATACACACACGTTGCTGCATGGAACAAGATACAGCTCCAAGAAAATAAGCCGTAACAAGAGGAGAAGAAATCAAGAGAGGAGGAGGAGTTTTGGGTATCTGTGGTGTGGAGTTAAAAGGAGTCCATGGCCTTGAATTCGCTGAGGGCTTGGACGGGGGAGATGTGTTTCTTCTGCGAGCCTCGCCTGACACGGGTCTGGCACTCCTCCGGTTTCTCTCTCTTCACCAGGGGTTTCTTCTCCGGGGCCTTCATGCGCCAGGACACCACCGGGGAATTGACCGCCGCCGTGCCGTACACCTTCTGGTACTTGGTGGAAGCCACGTAAGAGGCCTTGACTGTGAGGACCACGGCATTCATCAAGTTCTTGGCTGCCTGGATGAGGGATGTAGCGCTGTCCAGCTAACACAATGGGGAGGAGAACATTCAAGTAAGTATCTTTTGAGGATTACTATGGATATGTATGGAATGATATAGTAATGAATACAGTTTGGTCCTAATGCATAGTATTAAAAAATTAAATAATGTGTGAAACAGTACATAAATGATAAACGAGCAGTACATAAAAGCAGCACAACATTAAGTTATTAACAGTACATAAGTTATAAACGAGCTTTTTTTTTTTTTTTGAGTAATTGATCTAGTGTTTAACTCTCTGTCCAAGTATAGATGACCGTAATCGAATATTTGAAGAATGAAGTATGTGTGGCACACCACAGATGATTGGTTGAGGACAACTGTTGACCTGTTGTCAACTTGCTCTACTGGTGATTAAAATATTTAACGCAATTAAAGCAGGGTCGGAGCTAGGGTTAAGTCATGAAGATACCAAAAAGGCAATTAAAACTGCCTTAAAACTGTGCATGCATGTAATCAGTACCGTTTCTAGGCATAGGCAAGCTAGGCTGTCACCTAGGGCACCACCAGCAGGATGGAGCGCCAATGAGCGCACATACTGGCACTACATTTTAGCAGGGTTGTGATAAAGAGTGACACGGCCACCCTGAAATATGATTGCCACCCCCACTGGATCCCCCAACATCATTGGGCTAGAGTACTGTCAATCTAATGATGCCTGTATGCCGTTGGATCAGAGCGCTGTCAAATGCTGCCTCTGATTTTTGCATGCAAAGTTTGCATTTAGAGTGCTCAACAATGTTCAAAGCATTCAGAGTGTTCAAAGGCCAATTTAAAATATTGGTACTGTAAAAAGTGCACAAAAATTGTTTAGGCAGAATTTGTGGCAGTCGTGAAATTATGTTGTGAAATTGGTCCAAAAGGTGTGCATTTATGTGCCAATGCATTGTTAAAGGATCAGTGTGTAATATTCCCATATAAAACTTTAACAGCCAATTTAAAAAATATTGGTGTAGTAAAATTCAAAAAGATCAATACATCCTTTATTAAACTGCTTTGTCGAATTTAACGCATCCTTATGGAAGTGTCAAAATGCTGAATCAATTAATTCGCATCCAACAGCGCTTAATGGGAACAGCGTCATACACATAGAGGGCAGAGCGTCACGCTATTTAAAGGGGAAGTTCACGCGTCAATGAGTAACAAAGGAACAAGTAGCTGCATTCTGATTACTTTTATGCCACTGATCACATTAATCGCGATTAATTTCAGAAAAAATCTGCAATTAATTAGTTATTTTTTAATCGACAGCACTAATATATATATATATATAATATAAAATAACACATCTATATATCAAAGTTTCAATTCAAATTCAAAAGTTTACATACACCTTGCAGAGTCTGCAAAATGTTAAAGGGGTCATATGAAGCGATTTCAAGTTTTCCTTTCTCTTTGGAGTGTTACAAGCTGATTGTGCATAGATAAGATCCCTGAAGTTACAAAGACTAAAGTCTCAAAACCAAAGAGATATTCTTTATCAAAGTTAAGACTGCCACGCCCCCCTAAAACGGCTCATTCTAACACGCCCCCACATATCTACCTCACTATGTGAAAATATTTGAATAATGCCGCCCAAACGTTCATGCAAAGAAAGAAGGCGTGGTTTCAGGAACAGCAGTAGTGTTGATGCAGCATGTCAGGGAGACGCTGTGTGTTTCTAGGCGAAAGCAAAAGCACTTTATTTCACCTTCCGAAAGTAGATGCATTTAGGAATCTTTAAGATTACTTACAACAGAACAGCAATGCATTTTATGGACGACAGTTT